TTACCTGCTTCAGGCTTCCCGCGAATCAAATATTCGCGGGAAGCAGGGGAGGGGGCGGAGACTTTGGGGAGGGGGTGGGGTTGGGCGGGGGTATGGGCGGGGCTGGGGGGCGGGGCCGTAGGCCGTGGAGTGTCCTCCATTTGGAGGCACAAAATATGGTAACCCTACGTAAGAAGGAGAGTGGTTGGAAGGTTCCAGTTACACAAAAGAAATCTAACTGAATTATAGCCAGAGTCAAGATGAAAGGGAAGATTGTTGTGATTTCCTCAAGAGGCCATGATTTTAATTGTCCCAAGCTCTTAGTCAGCATGAAGCACCTCATAATCCACACCTCACAGCAGTGGGCCATGAGCAAGTCAACCTGATATTAAAATGTGTTCCCAATCAGGAACTGGATACACATTATCTAGGGGCTCCATCTGGCCTCAGGTGGGGCAATGTTGCCTGAACTGGCTCTGCAAGGTAAACAGAGTGTTGTAATGTATTTAGCAACTGATAATGCAGCAATGTACAGAGGAGGAAACAAATTCCTTGGCTATGAATTTATTGAATGATTAGATCCAGGGAACAGGCAATTTACAAGGAAGGAATTTCCCAGGTTTCTCATTCCCATGATTAAATCACTGAACTGACTTACTTCTTACTATTTAACTCCTATTATTAGGAATTGTCCTCCCATGTACCTGTGAAGTAATCACCAAACAGAAAAGAAAGCAAAACAAAGAGTGAAGTGTAAATAGTGACAAGAAATTGTATTTTTTATTATTCTGCAGATACTTTACTACCAAATGAAGTACTTATTATAAGTAGTGACTACTTCCTATAGTAAGCACTAGATCAGACCCTAAAATGTTATGAGTAACATAGACAACATTTGAGTACACCGTGTGATTTTGTTATTGTTGTCGTCGTTGACAATATCTTTTAAAAATTACAGTACAGTGAATATGGTTAATTTCCTAAACTGAACTACACACCATTCAACAATCAGTTAAGCAATAAGAGTTAGTAGTATGAATCCATTTTCTTTGTTTGTTTCAAATCTCATGCAATCCTAAATGCAAACTCTGACTAGGACTCTTAGACATATGCAAAGGTCAAACGCTTCTCCAGAGATCTCCCCTAGCCTGCAACCCTTTTCTCTGTACCTCCCCATGCTTGTTCAGCAGTAGCCTCTTCTTTTTCCCGTCACACAATCTTGTCCATTGGTGCAAGAGTTCTATAGCTCCTTTGCTTCTGTTTTTATAGGGACTGCAAATGCTCAATACCTCTGAAAACCGGGCCTCTGATGTCTGGAACAAAGTTCTTGCATCTTTCTGCCTCAGCAGTTCTCCACCTGTTTTCCGAATCAGAATGAAAAACCTAAATTTCTCATGGGAAGGAAATTCCCAAAAAATTTCTATTGGGAAAATTTACACATTTTGTTTCAATAATGTCAAAACATTCTAATATATTATATAATTTAACACACAAATACCATACAAGCAGAAAATGAATGAATTGAAACAAAGTTGAAACAAAACACTGTGGCATTATCAAAGAGAAACAAGAAAGTAGAAATGCCTTGTTTTGATTTTTTGTCCTGTTACCAATTTCACCAAAATGGAGGTTTGCACAAAGTGTTTTGATTTCAGTTAAACTGCATTTTCCTAAACTAAACTGTTCTGCTGAAAAAACGTTGACCAACTCTATTTATAACCATTAAAAAAAAATTAAATTAATGGAGGTATCCCATCTCCTAGAACTGGAAGGGACCTTGAAAGGTCATTAAGTCCAGCCCCCTGGCTTCACTAGCAGGACCAAGTACTGATTTTGCCCCAGATCCCTAAGTGGCCCCCTCAAGGATTGAACTCACAACCCTGGGTTTAGCAGGCCAATGTTCAAACCACTGAGCTAACCATTAATTAACTTTGCTAAATGCTTGGGGTTATCATTTGCATGAAAGATGTTCTTAAAAAATAGAAGTTATAGAATATTAAGGGAGTGGAAGAACACTTCAGATTGCTGACTTGTAGCTGAGTGAAAGGGATATACTCTCATTCTCCTTTTGCAGTATTTGAGGTAGAAACATTATTATAATATACATTTTTCAAAAGTGCAAGCAGAGGGTATTTCCACTCTGCTCTGGATATTCCACACCCTGCATAAGGTCAAACATCTCCTTTGTTTACGGTTTGTTGGAATTTGACTTTATCATTGGCATTAACAACAGCAGATCGTAAAACAGCCTGTGCTACTCCTGGGGGAATTCTGTGTCACTGTGCAAGAAAGAATTTTGCAGAAATTAATGTTGGGTGCGCAGAATTTTCTTTTCCCCCCACAGAAATGGGCTGCAGAGATGTTGGCTGCCATGAGGGGCCACTAGACCCGGTAGAGCACAGCTCACAAATAGAAGACAAGGCTGGGGAGGGAACTGGAGGGTTCCCAGCATGCCCTGAAGGAAGGAGGCAGTGGTGCAAGCCTGGGACCCAGCATCAGGTTGTTTCTCCCTCTGGATCCTTGGTCCCTGTGGGGTAAGGGGTGTGAGTGTCTGGGCTGTGGGAGGAGGGGGTGTGAGTTTATGGACTGGGGGGGCGTGGCTGGGCTCTGGTGGGAGGGGGTGTGAGTGTCTGGGTTGGGGGGGGCGTGGCTGGGCTCTGGGGGGTAGATGGTGTGAGTGTCTGCCCCCCCAGCTGGACTCTGGGGGAGAGGGGGCAGAGAAACAGGAACTGGGTTGTCAGAGGGGTTTCTTTAACACTACTCCTGAGGGACATTTTCTGTGTGTCTGTATTGTTACAGACATACTTGCTGACAGGTATTTTGAAATAAATTACCAATTGAAACTGGTATGATTATATAGTGTTATTTTGACAAATACAGTTGCAGAATTTTAAAACATTCTGTGCAGAATTATAATTTTTTTGGCACAGAATTTTTAATTTTTTGGTGCAGAATACCCCCAGGAGTATTTTGCTTACAACCCAGCCCAAGCCAGGCACAGTTTCAGTTTCCTAAGACTTTTCTATTTCTACCTCTTGTTCCCTCTGAATAGAGGCTCATTCCTACCTTTCTTCTAGCCTGGTGCAGTTAATAAGCCACACTCGTTATGGCTGCAATGAGTCAGCAGAGTTTACTCAACAACTTTATATATGCAGAGTCCTCTTAATCTGGTTTTACAGAGCATGTCACCGGAAAAGGGGTGTAGATCCTGCCAACTTGTCACAGAAAGAAATAAAACAATTTTTATAAAAACTAGTTACGCAAATATCCGTAGTGTCACGTTTTCCATCCTCAATGAGAAAAACATGTGTTTTTTGGTTTAGATGATGGGTTTTTTTCAGATTAAGGGACAAAATAAAGAGGGAAACTTTGTATTTGCTCTGTGAGAGCTCACTGTGATTCAGTCTGAAATATTCTGCATCTGAATTAAAATACAAAATGACAGGTGTCTCTATATTTAAAGGTGTGGAACATAGAAAAAGAATGACAACTAGAACTGGTTGGCAAATTATTTTTTTCCCTCTGCCAACAAATTTAAATAAAAAAAGTTTTTGTCAAACATTTTCTTCAACATTGTGGTTTTTGTTGACCACTGACAAATTTGGGGTCTTTGATTTTTTTCAATGAAAACTCATTTTTTAAAACTATTTTTTGTTTCTAAAAAATTCCTGTTTAGTCCAAAATAATTTGTGTTTAAAAAAAAGGTAGTTTTTCTGACCAGCTCAACTGACAACTTCTCTTCTTAGGGGCTCTAGGACCCTGTGTAGTGGGAGGGTCCCAAAGCTCAGGCTGCAGCCCAAGTTAAAATGTCTACACAGCAATGAAGAAGACCCTTAGCCTGAATCAGAGGGCTCAGGCCAGTTGCAGGTTTTTAATTGCGCTGTAGACATACCCTTCATGTTACATATACCATACTTGCAATGACATGCACACTGAATGATCCCTGCACCCACTATTGATTTCAGTGGTGGTGGTGGTGATGGGGTGTGGGGTCTGGGCAGGCATGAACCCACACAGAGCTCCATTGAAGCATTGGGGCCTTAGCTACTACTGCATTTAGAAAACTGATACAAGGGACAGCATTCAAACTGAAGATGTGATAGGAGGGCTTTCCCTGCCTCTACTGAGGCTTGTTCCTATATTTGTCTAACTTCAGTCTGTTCTCAGGCCCACAAAAACACCCCCAAAACTAATCAGGGACTTCCTATGACTGTGTTACACAGGAGGTCAGACTAGACAACCATTTTGGCCCAGTAATCTATGAAAATCTCAGATGCTGCTGCATCCAGGGAAGGTGTAACTGGAAATACAACATTGAATAGAATAAAAGGGAGGGGGAGACTGTGATGCTCTTAATCTCCAGTCTTGTCTGAAATCACGTTAAGTACAGGGAATATTATCTTCCTGGTTTAAAAGGAAATATATGTGATGTCCATGTTTTCTTCTTCTTTCAAATGGCAAATCTTGGGAGCAGGGGCAAGAAGATGAGGTAGGGGATCAGCTGAAGGGAACATCTCAGGTTTTTCATTTTCAATCAAAGTCAGGTGATGGTGAGTGGCGGGGGATCATCCCTCTCAGCCCTACTGCTCAGTGGTCTTTGCTGGGGTAGCTTGTATCCCTGGCTCATAAAGATTGAATAACTCTGATCTATATTTCTGCAGAAGAGCAGGATTTTGCCTTTCAGATGCCCGCAGTTACATTGAATGGAAGGTAGGAAAGGCAGCTTTTTGGGGTGTGTGTGTGTGTGTGTGAAGGGGGACTCCCTACCCCCCAGTCCTCTTCTCTCCCCTCCCCGGGGCTTCACACATCCTCCCCTTTTACAAATGACTCCTCGTTTAACACTGGAAAACCACACTTTTCAAACCCCATTCTCCACCAGGCCCCAGGAGAGAACACTAGTCTGGCACGACCAGCCCTAAAAGCGGGGGAAGGGGAGGCTGTGTGTGTGTGTGCTGTCTCTTTAAGGAGCTGCAGCCCAGTGCTGCCCCCTGCAGGTCCAGCCGCAGCAGTTTTTCCTTGCCCGCCTCCTTGCCAGGGTCAGTCTGGGCAGGTTGCTGCTGCGCGGCAGAGACGCGGGGACTAGGTAGGGCAGCCGGGTGCCGGCCGGCCCGGGCTGCTGCTTGCAAGCTCTCCTTCGGGCAGGAGGCGCAGCCCCCGGGAGGGTGTGTCCTTGCTCGCCCACCCTCTTGCTCTGGGGGTGGAGGGAGGAGGAACCAGCAGCGGCAGGAGGAAGTGGAGGCGGCTCGGAATAGCGGGCAAATGGAGACGTGAGAGGCGGCAGCAGCAGCAGCGGGGGAAGGAAGCGAGCTGGTCTCCGGATCCCCGGGCGTGCAGCCCGACGGCCACTGGGGCTCGCCTCGGCAGCCTGGGGCAGAGGCTTGCTCGGGGCTCCGCTGCTGCCTGGGGGCTGCTGCTCGGAGAGCCGCGGCGTTGTGCCTGCTCTGCGGGCTGCTCCATTGGCGCACGGAGGAGGATTTCAGAAGGTAGAAGCTTCCCCTCCACCAGAGGCACCTTCCCTCCCAGCCTCTCCGCTTTCCCTTTCCTGGGAGGGCCTGCAAGTTACTGCTGCTCAGAGAGCCTGGACCCTGCCCGAGCCAGCCAAGCACGGGTCTGTCGGGAATATTGCTAGCGGCTTCCGAGACAGCATCTGATGTTGTTGTTGTTGTAAGTCTCTGCTTTAAAACTCAAGTGCATATGAAATATTAAAGCCCCTCCCCTGGATTTTTCCGTTTTGCCTATCTCAGAGTTCTTTGCACCCCAAGGACTGAATGACTTCCCTCTAGAGACTTCTTTTTTGGGGGAGGAGGCACCGAGTACCAAGCTGCTGCATCTTGTGTACCAGGCATTTCTCTTTCCTCCTTTAAAAATAACCCCCACCCCCACTCCGCTGGAGGGTAAGGGAAGATGCAGACCTTTCTGAAAGGGAAAAGAGTTGGTTATTGGCTGAGTGAAAAGAAGATCAAGAAGCTGAATTTTCAGGCCTTTGCAGAGCTCTGCAGGTAAGGAACAAATCCTGGCGAGCTATAAGGGGGGGTGGGAGGGAGGAATCAACCTCCTCTGTCTCACTAGAACTTGACAGTCTGTCCTCCCCCCCCCCCCCCCCCAAAGTACATTTGACATTGTGGGCCTTCAGCCGCATCTCTGGTTATCAAATTAACATGCAATTATGATATAGTATTGCTTAAGAGCAGGGTGACTGCTGCTTGGAAATTGAGTCATAAATTTTAACAGCCTGGATCTAAGATTGTCATGGAAGCAATGCCTGGCATAGTGGTGATGTGAAAGCATGCTATTGACTTGCGGTTTCATTATGGGCAGGGGCAAAAAAGAAGTTTGGTAGCCAGGCTGCATTAAGGTGACCTTTACTATGACTGGTGTAAAAAGGTTTTCTTTAATGTCGTTTATTATTTCCTCTACATTGCATCCAAGAAGTAAGAAATCTTAAACTGTCCATGGTGTCAGTTTCCCCTGGGCTGGAAGTAGCCTGGCAGAATGGAACTGATACCCAGGCATCCATGTACCATTCTTTTGGGGAAGCGAGGAGTAGTGTACATTAACAGTCTTCTTGGCAGACTGCATGCATGACTTCCACCCCCTACCTATTCAGTATCCCTTGATCCCAAACCTGGTTTTCTGGATCTTAATCTGAAGTCTCGCTGCTTCCCTTTTTCATATGCATGGTACTGGTGCTATGGCTTTTACCATAGTATGTTGCAAACTTCTGAGAAACTCGAGTTTGAACTGTGGTTTTGTGTGTTTGAGTGCGGATGAGACATAGTCATGCTCTGTGACTGGCGTACATTTTTATTTGCACATCCCTCCTTGAGCTCTCCTGTTTCCATGATAAAATAATCCAAATCAGACTTTTTAAAGAATTTGGTGGGATTCAAAAGAGGAGCATGATGGCTCCTGTTAATAAATTTCAAGTGGGTGGCTGGTTAATTTTCTGGGTGTCATATCACAAAATATTGGGATTTTAGAATATTTTCAGTCCCTGTGTAAGATTTTAATTTCCCAGGGATGCTTAGGGGATTTCTGCATTAGTGTAAATGCCTGTATTCACCTCCATTGGTGGGATGTTAGACTTTTACTACAGGTTACTCTTTTATTTTTACAGCTACTATTACATGTAGTTACAAGGACACATGCTATATTGCTTAATAGAATTTGTTGTTAATTTGATTCTGTGAGTGAACTAAGAGTAAATGTCAGATAAGAGTTTTCAACTAACTGGCAAATGTGAACTATCAGAGTCATTTATTAGACTTTTCCAATTTTAAAATAGCTCTCTTATTTAACTACTGTTCCTAAATACACTCCGTTTACACACACACACACTTTTAAAATTTGGTATCATCTACTATGAAATACATATTATTAAGAGGTTTCAGAGTAGCAGCCGTTTTAGTCTGTATCCGCAAAAAGAACAGGAGGACTTGTGGCACCTTAGAGACTAACAAATTTATTAGAGCATAAGCTTTCGTGGGCTACTAAGAGTATATTATTAAGAGTCTTCTCTTTTCTTAAAGTTGTTTGGCCAACGTCACTTACGATTAAGGAACTTTCACCACAGGTTCTTTCTGTAAAGATGAAGGGGAAAATGGAAAAGCAATTTAACCAAATGACAGAAAAGTGTCAGTTTGTGTTCTGATCACTTTGTATTCTATTAAAATTCACAGAAATAAGATGGGTAAATTTACTATATGTAAATAGATCACAAGTTCCAATTTAATATATAATTTTCCTTTTTGGTCATACAAACAAACTGCTTTATTAATGACTGATGCTGAGGCTTAGCCCTGCCTAACTGACTTTCTGGTTCATTTTGGTGCTGTACACTTTTTCCTGTGCTTATAAAAGGATCTGATAGTTAGTGTACATCAGATTTCATAACCTAAAACTAATAGGGCTATTATGTTGGACTCGAAACAAACACAGATTCTACTCTATTTCCTAGTGCCTGCTACCCAGCATTCTGAGTCCTCTGTGTAGGAATCCAAGTTTCTCTGCCCCCCTCCCCTCTTCTCCTCAAACCTTTTTGTTTCTCTTTCTGACTGACTTGTAAGTTTTCATTTTTCCACATAACACACTTGTATTACTGTATTACGTAACACTGCTCTATAATTCCACACTTACTGCACAATTATGTTAATGGGTGTTACTGGCACTGAAATGCAAATTGGTCCAGAGTCTCAGAGTACAGCTGCTGAAAGGTGGTTTAGCTAAACTGGTTTTAAAAACTGGCCCATCTATTTTTTGCCTTGTCTGCGCTCGTGCTCCAACTCCTTTTTAAAACCAGTTAATATTTCTGGATGGATTTCCCCAGTTTAGACAAGGCCTAGTTGAGGAAGGATGGCTCAGTGAATAAGATGCTAGGCTGTGAATTGGGAAGATCTTCATTCTATTCCCTTTTCTACCAGAGACTTCCTGTGAGATTTTTTTTGGCAAGTCACTTAGGGCAGGTCTTCACTACGGGGGGGGGGGGTCGATTTAAGATATGCAAATTTCAGCTACACGAATAGCGTAGCTGAATTCGATGTATCGGAGCCGACTTACCCTGCTGTGAGGACAGCGGCAAAATCGACCTCCGCGGCTCCCCATCGACAGCGCTTACTCCTACCTCTGCTGGTGGAGTAAGCGTGTCGATTTGGGGATCGATTGTCGCGTCCCGACGAGACGCGATAATTCGATCCCCGAGAAATCGATTTCTACCCGCCGATTCAGGCGGGTAGTGTAGACCTAGCCTTAGTCTCTCTCTACCTCCATTCTTCATCTGTAAAATGGGATAGCAAGAAGGCTGTACTCATGGGGTACTGAGGACGTACACAATCAAAAATTGTGATGTACTTGGATACTGTGGTAATGGGGGGCCATATCAGTACTATAGATCGATATGGGCCTGATCCTGAGATGAGTTCCATGTGCTCTGCACCCTTGAAATTAATGGGGAGTTTCAGGCATCTACAAAGGCCTCTTTCCCAAAGGAAGATGAGGGCTTTCACAGAGAGCTGGGGTGTTTAGCATCAGAAGTGAGCCATGCATTGAGGACAGTAGTGAGGCACCAGGAGTCCCAGAACTTCCACCCAAACCAGGCTAAGTGGCGAGAACGTAATAGCAAACTAGCTGTGGATCTGTCTGAGGGTGTACTCAGTGGCATGGTAGATCTTGTTACTCTGCATGCCAAGTCACATTTGTGCATTTCAGTGTCCCGATGATGAGAGTAAGAGCGCCTGGTGCTGCTCTTCTCTTTCCACAAAAGAGGAAAGTGGATGAGAGAAGTTGTGCTTCTCGCATAGTAATTGTGAGAATCAATTTATGCCAGTTTCCACCAACATAAGAAAACGTAAATGAGGGATTCCACAGAAACTCCACTTGCTGAACACCAGTTGCAACAACCCCTTGTGTGAACAAACCAAACTGTTTTCCTGCTAAGAAATCTGTGTGACAAGTCAGCCACTGATTGACAAATATGAAAAAATGAAGTCACTAGATCTTGTTTGGAGCCTCTAGGTGCTACAGTAATACCAATAATAACTAACAGTCTCCAGGCTGTGGATTTTTGATTAGTGTAGACAATGTCAGAAGTGTTCCTCCACTGAACCAATCCATTTTTCTATAGAAAACCACATGGATAAGATTTCATTATTAGGATTCCACACAAAGGGGACATTCTTTTCATTATCTTGAGTGTTTGAGTAAGTCCTCCTACAGTGCATGTGTCACTTGTACTTCAGGCCATAGAAACTGGTTTCACTGGTCATCTAGCGTGTTTTTGTTGCTTTAGGGTAAGAATATTTTTATGGGACTAGAAAATAACAGTGGTGAGTTAGAGCATTGCACATGTACATATTTCCCCTCTTCTCCCCCATACTCTGCTGTACCTGTGGTGCCTTTTTTTGTTTTTTTCTCTTCAGGTAGCTGAACTGTGTGAGTCCACTTGGCTCATTGTGTTTTCTTAAGCCACAATTACCCTTTCTCTCCAGTTCTTACAGCCTGGTTTCTGTGATCTGTGGAATTTAGCTGCCCTTTGTGCAGTTAAACCTCCCTAGTAGCATTTTATAAGCTACCAGTCTTAGCAAACCAGCATAATAAAACAGGGGTAAACACTACTGTCAGAGCTATACATAGGGGTTGTTTTTTTTTTTTTATATTCTGAACTTTTTTTTGTGTTTCCTGTGTTTACTGGACTAAACATAAGAGGCCAAATATGAGATTTGATACAGAGATTTAGGAATAATTTTGATCCGAGAATATTAAATTAAGCATATTCTTTGTATAGCAAACCATTAAGTATATTGCATATTTTTCCAGGAAGAACTCGGAATTTTCTTTAACCTCAGCTCCCCACAAAAAACTAAATACTGATTTTGTTAAATGCATGGCTTGTGCCAGTTGGCTTTAAAGACTGTAGAAATAGGGTGACCAGATAGTAAATGTGAAAAATCGGGACAGGGGGTGGGGGGTAATTGGCACCTATATAAGAAAAAGCCCCAAATATTGGGACTGTCCCTATAAAATGGGGACAGCTGGTCACCCTATGTAGAAACTATAAAAATTAAACATAGGCATGCTGGTCAATAGCTCCAATTGTTACCTACGCTGGTGTGCAATATTATATCACAAGAAGTCAATGGACAATAGAGGAGAATAAAGCTTCTTTGGGCTAGTCTACACTTACCGGCTGGTCCGGAGGCACGCTATCGATGTTCTGGGATCGATTTATCGCGTCTGGT